CTCATTGATGTTTCTAACTCTCTATCTCTCTCCCTTCCTCTCTGTAAAAAATCAGTAAAATATATATTAAAAAAAAAAAAAGAATGTAGAGAAAGGGGAAACCTTGTGCACTGTTGGTGGGATTGTAATTTGGTGCAGCCACTATAGCAAACTGTATGAAGGTTCCTCAAAAATATTAAAATTAGAACTACCATTCGAATCAGTAATTCTACTTTTGGGTATTTATCCAACCAAAACAAAAATACTAATTCAAAAAGATATTTGTACCCCTATGTTAATTACAGTATTATGTACAATAGAGGTGATACATACATACACACACAGAGACAAATGGAATATTACTCCGGTATAAAAATAATAAAATCTTGCCAGTTGCATAAACATGAGTGAAGATAGAGATTTTATGCTAAGTGAAAAAGTCGTACCAAGAAAGACAAATACCATATAATTACACATATATGTGTAATCTAAAAAAACAAAACAACCAACCAAAACAAAACAGAAACAAACTCAAAGAACATAGAATGGATAGCTTCCCCCAAAGAAGAGTTTTGGCTGAATAGGTGAAAAAGATAAAGAGAAATAAATAAGAGATCCAGACTTTTAGTTACATAATAAGTCATTGGGATGTAACTTACAGCATAGGGAAAATAGTCTATAATATTACAGTAAGTTTATATGATGACAGTTGGTTACTATACTTGTTTTGGTTAACACATTGTAAAATACATAAATGTAAAAATCACTGTTTTACACCTGAAACTAATATAATATTGTATGTCAACTATACTTTAATTTAAAAAATTAAACTTTTTTTTTTAACTGAGAAAGAAAATACCTGCTCTTTAAGGAGTGACCATCTGATGGGCTCACCTCACTCATGGGGTATAATCAATCACCCTAGTACACCCCCCTGCCCCACCAAGACTCACCCTAATGTTAAGGAGAACCCAGCCTGAGTCACACCTTCACTCTAAACACAGGGACTCCAACCAAAACAACTGTACGGAGAGCTCCATTCTCAAACTCCTGCTCCCAAACAACAAGGAATGACTGAAGCTGCCAACTCAAAGTCCTCTGAGCACAGAACCCAGGCTCTGTGAGGTCAACAATGCAACACAGGGCAGCACAGCTCAGGGGAGGGGCTCCCCAGCAAGCAGCAGGCCCAGAGCAGGAGCCTCCTGGTTCTTATCAGCCTGACAGGTAAGGACAGGGGAAGAGGGAGGGGCGAGGCTTAAGTTTTCAGTAAACAAATATCAAGCATGTGGAGCCTGACCACTTATGACAAGAACAAACCCAAGTAAGAAAAACAGGCATTAGCTCTGGCCTGTTTTTATATAAATAGGGGGTAATACAGAAGTGACTGAAATATTGTGCTGTGGATGGCTAGCTTACAGCACTGCAATGGACCAGGATATGTGGTCAGGAAGTCTTCTTGTTGATTTCTATCTTAGAAATTTAATCAGCCTTCCTTCCAATGCACTACTTATTTAAAATAAGGAGAAATTATATAAATATATAATATATAAATATATATATATATACCATTATTTCCTATGTGAAATCATTATTTTAAATTAATTTTTACTTTTTTAAAATTAATCCAATTTTAACTTTTCTCTACAGAATACTACTCTAAGATGTAATCCTTTAAACACTAAAAAATATAAAACTCCAAACCAGGGGTCCTCAAACTTTTTAAACAGGGGGCCAGTTCACTGTCCCTCAGACCGTTGGAGGGTCGGACTATAGTTTAAAAAAAAACTACGAACAAATTCCTATGCACACTGCACATATCTTATTTTGAAGTAAAAAAACAAAATAGGAACAAATACAATATTTGTATTTGCATGTGGCCCACGGGCCGTAGTTTGAGGACCCCTGCTCCAAACCATCAAAAATTCCCAGATTCCTTTCTGGTAAAAAGCCAAGGGACATTATAATAGTTTGTCCACTGTATTTTACACTTGGGATATTTTTGAGATTGAGTAGTATATTATAATGCATTAGGGGTTTGCAATAAAGCCCTGAAATGAACTAGAAAATTCAAATATACCCTTTTTAGTTGTTTTTCTTACTACATCAATGAAAATAAAAATTCAACTGCTTTTTCCTCACATCCATTCAAATAGAAATTCTTTTAAATGTCAAATTTCTTTACAGTCATGGACATATAAAAACTGACCTAAAAATGGAAAAATCACCTGATAACTTAAAAACACCCTTCTCCCCTCTTCAGGCTCTCTTCCATAATAAAACCAAAATTATATTCGGTTCCACAATTATCTTGCCTTATATATACGGTATCTTTCTATCAACTTACATATTAAAAGCACAAGTGTTAATAAAATCTAGATTCAAAGAGCTGCAATATTCAATGGAGAAAGGAATCCAATGAAAGTAAACAGCAATATTGGAATCAAGAAAGGTACACAGCTGCTTCCCTACAGTTCAGAAGGAAACCCACACCCAGAAAATGGACTGTTTCCACTAAGGGTCTAGACACCCCCTGCTGAGATAAAGCCCCTGCAGTGGGTCAGTCCCTGGGGAAGGACATGGGTGACACCTGAGCAGCCCCAGGAGTGAGCTCTCTGGGAGCTCCACACCCTCCCCTCGCCTGTAAGCATGGAAACGCTCCCTCCCTGAGGCTTCCATTCTCACAGGTGAGGCAACTCACAGCCTGATTCAGTTTTAAGTTCTGATCCAAATGAACCCCCAAATCCATAAACCTTTTGTCCACGAGACAACAAAGTACCTGATCTGCATAGACCAGTGATGGCGAACCTTTTGAGCTCGGCATGTCAGCATTTTGAAAAACCCTAACTTAACTCTGGTGCCGTGTCACATATAGAAATTTTTTGATATTTGCAACCATAGTAAAACAAAGATTTATATTTTTGATATTTATTTTATATATTTAAATGCCATTTAACAAAGAAAAATCAACCAAAAAAATGAGTTTGCGTGTCACCTCTGACATGCGTGTCACCTCTGACACGCGTGTCATAGGTTCACCATCACTGGCATAGACCTTCTCAATGTCTATAAATTATACTCTGAATGTAAACCTCAACATAAAATCTAGAAATGGCTGGGACTAAGGATCCACAACCACAACCACAACCACAGACAGAGCATCAGCACCAACCTCCACCCAAGGCCCTGCATTGCATCCCCACTTCCGGGCTCAGGAGCTTTTCTTAGAATCTACTTCAGCAATTCTGCTCTGCAAGGCTAAGCCCTGGGATTGTTTTTTAAAACTCCCCAAAATAAAACAACCTCAGAAACTTACTACACATGCTCAGGAAGAGTGAGAGAAAAATTCTAGAAATGGAACGTAATACTAAAAAAAAAAAAATTTTTTTTCCGAATTCTACTTTTTGCTTATTTGGAACTCTTTTATATTGTCTTTCACGTTCTAGTGATTATATACATTTTACTCCTATTAAAAACTGAGACTTGCCCGGCTGTGGTGGCTCAGTGGCTTGAGCGTCATCCCACAGACCAAGAGGTCCTGGGTTCGATTCACAGTCAGGGCACAAGCCTGGGTTGTGGGCTGTGGGGGTGTGAAGAAGGCAACGAATCAATGAGTCTCTCTCATCACTGATGTTTCTGTCTCTCTCCCCCCTCTCCCTTCCTCTCTGAAATCAATAAAAATATTTTTTTAAAAAACAAAAACAGTCCTAACTGGTTTAGCTCAGTGGATAGAGTGTCGGCCTGACTCTCTATCATCCTCCCTTCCTCTCTATAAAAAAAATCAATAAAATAAATTTAAAACAAAAAACAAAACTGAGACTTAGCCAGGCCAGCATGGCTCAGTGGTTGAGCGTCCACCTATGAACCAGGAGGACAGGGTTGATTCCTGGTCAGGGCACATGCGAGATCCCCAGTGGGGGAGCGCAGGAGGCAGCCCATCAGTGATTCTCTCTCATCATTGATGTTTCTATCTCTCTCCCTCCCCCTTCCTCTCTGAAATCAATTAAAATATATTAAATATATATGTATATTTAAAAAACAAAACAAAAAACTGAGATTTAAATAAGTCAGTAAGTGTTTTCAAAGTGATCAGCCCAGGGAAGGGACCGTGCTGACGGGGCACAACACCCGGGAAAGTTTCCAAAGAGGGACCCCCCTCCCCCCAGAGGACTTCCCCTGTGTCTGTGCCAGGGAAGGTCCCGGGCGAGAGGAAGGCGGACTTCATAGTCTTCTAGGTGTTACTCTCGGCTTCCCTCTCACGCAAAATATCCAGACAAATGTAAATCTCTAAGGAAGAGCATTCCGCCATTATTCCGTAAAAAAAATTTAAATGGGGGGAGAAAGGGATCAGTGGGGGGAAAGGAGACATATGTAATACTTTAGACAATTAAAAAAATTTTTTAAATAAAATATACGAAATATTGAGTCTGTTTGAAACGCACCCCGGAGGCTAGTCGGTCATGATGCTGTGACTCAGGAGGAAAGCTGGCTTTGGGAATTCAGGACGGACCTGGAAATGCAGAGATTTACCGCCAGTTTCAGTAAAGGCCAATTTGGGGGACCAGGGTCCAGGATTTGAGACCCTGCTTCCCAAACATTTAAGAAAACTCATAAAAAGGCGGTTCCCCCTGAGGAGAGAGGAGCGACGACCCCACAGACCACAGCCCCGCCCCTGCACCGGCCCCGCAGGCCGAGTCACAATTGTC